AAAAAAAAAAAAAAAAAAAGAAAGAAAAGAAAAGCAAGCAAGCAAGCCCCTTTACCTGTGAGGGCTCTGTCTCCACCCACACACCAGGGAGCTCTGGCAGCAGGAGATGTTCATCTACCAGGAGAGTTTTGTGGTCAGTGCTTCCCAGAAATGGATCACATCTTGGCTGCAAGCTGGGTCCTCTGACCATCACACTACTCCGAGCAGAGCCTGTCACTTGGTGGCCTTGAAACTCAACAGGCTGAAGGTGAATTATTAAAAATAAGAACTGTGTAGGTATACAAACACATCCACACACACATCCACAATGTATAGACAGAGAAAACAATGCATAATTCAGCTTTGCATTAGAGATGACTTAAGTGGGACCGGCCAGATAGCTCAGCAGACAAAAGTGCCTAAGCAGGTGCAGCAACTGGGTTCGATCTGGGCATGCTGTGTCAGTCCCACCCCCAAGGCACACTGAGAGGGTGACAGACCGGGCATGGTGGCTCACACCTGTAATCCTATTGCTTGGATGCTGAAAACAGGCGATCACTACAAGTCTGATCTGTGAAGTACGACCCTATAGACCCTGTACTAAATACATTAAAGAAAATTTTACTCAAGTGTCAATCATTCACACAGGACTGATGCTGAAAACCTGGAAATACTCTCAATATCCAAAAGTAGATTTTTGTTGTTATTCTTTGAGACAGGGTTTTGCTGTTAGTTCAGACTAGCCTTGAATGTACTATGTAAATCAGGGTAATCTTGCACTCACAGCAATCCTCCTGCCTCAGCCTACTGTTTACTGGGATTATAGGTATGTACCACCACACTTTATTCAAGAATAGAGATTATAAACCACATTTGAAAGGAAAATCAAGTCTAAATGCCCTGATATGTAACAATTTTGTTGAAAATATTCTGAATTTAAAAACATATAAATGGGGCTGGTGAGATGGCTCAGTGGTCTAAAGCACCTACTTAGAACAAGGTAAACTAAGCAAAGCACAGGGACCGTGGTTCAATCCCCCAGCACCACAGCCAGCC